ACATAGGATCAAACTTCCTGATGATTCATCTACTCTAATCTTGCCAGGCAGTCTTAAAAAGTGGGTTTTCCATCCTAGCTGGATAGAGCATCATCCTATGGACTGTAGGGTCCTGGGTTCAATTCCGGTCAAGGGTACATGTCTGGGTATCGGGTTCAATCTCCAGTGGGGGGACCTGCAGGAGGCAGCCGATCATTGATTCTCTCTCATCGTTGATGTTTCTACCTCTCACTCCCTCTCCCTTCCTCTCTGAAATCAATAAAAATATATTTTAACAAAGAAAGGAAAAGAAAAGTGGGTTTTCCTGCAAAAGGGCCTAGTGTGACCCCAAAGGATCTGGGCAGTTGTGGACTTCCTTGTTCTCCCCACTGGCACTGGTCTTCATGTATATCATATGTATCCCCAACCTCAAGGGCCACTTCCACTAAGCAGGGTATGGAAATAGAACAGGGCTTCCTCCCTATGGCTGTGCTTAAATGCAGATTCCCAGGGTCCACCCAGGGACCCTCTTTTGTGGTAAGTTTACAGCGTGCCTGCATGCCTGACAGTCATACCCTCTCCCCCGAAATTCCTGTGCACACTGGTGTGTGAAGGATGCTTGTATAGACTACTCCAACACCCAAGCATTCCTTTTCCTTTCACATTGCACATCTGTCAGGTGAGCAACAGCCCAGATCTCTCTGCAGGTAGGCAATCCTATGATGTAGCAATGCCCCCGTGTGGGGTTCCCCATGCCGGGTGGTAATTTCAGGTCCAGTTGGTTAATGATTATTTCAGAATCTCCCTGAGATAGTGCCATTATCAACAGAACCTACGTGAATCACTCACTGACAGATGTGCAATACGCACCCACACTAAGCTCCCATCTCTGCAGGAAGCTTTGCTGGGTTGCTCTGATGGGGGTCTATAGGCCTGTCCTATTCATACCCTCCGGGGAGATCACGCCTGAGCGTGGATTGACTGTCCTCTTACTAGTTCTGGACTTTGGGCGAGTTTCTGACCCTGTTTGTGCCTCAGTTTTCTCATCCATAAAGTAGAGGTTATTATGCTACTTACTTAATAGGGGTTTAAAGAAATGTAAATAAATCAATATTTGCAAAGCACCAGGTTGGAGCAACGCCTGGTATGTTGTAAGTGCTTTATAGGTGCTTGTTAAATAAAAATAAAGAGTTAAAGGTCCAAAGTAGCTCGGCCTTTATTGCCTAATCATTTTTGCCCCTGACCCCAGTGTTTACTCGTGCCCTGCTGGGTTCTGGAAATAACCAGGGTGCACCGGCCTGCTTTGGTCTGGGGAGGGCTCTTCTGTGTTTACTGGAGATAACACTTGCATCTCCAGTCTAGCTCCACTTCGCCTCTGTTTTCCAAAGTTACAATTCTAAGTGTTTCTGAGCAATTGTCATCTCAAGCTTGACCTGTCATCCCTGTGCTCAAGGAGAATCCAAAGTCCCTTATCCAGAAAGCCCCATCCCCAGCATCCACCAACAAATAATTCTTCCCCTTCACAAGCGCAGACTCAACAATACAAAGCCATCTTTGTCACATAGTCCTCCCTTCTCTGCACAGCATATCCAATTGGATGCTAAGTTTTTATCATTCCTGCCTCCCTTGGATGCCATCCATTCACATGGCTACACCTCGGGTCAGGTATTGTCACTTTGGGTTCAATAGGCACCACTGCACCTAACTAACCTGGCCTTTCCACCTCCCAGGTATTGTTTCTCAACCATCCTAGGTAGGATGCCAATACTTCAGTCCTCTACTCAAAACTGTTGAGCTCTTCGTTATCTACTGAATTAATAATAAAAACGATGATACTATTTAAATCAATTGGATACTGAGTAGGTACTCCATCTAAGTTTTCCTCATGGGTTATCTAATTTAGTTCTCATCAGGGTTCTGGTGTCAGACTGATTGGATTGGAGCACATGCCCCCTCCCCACATGCAAACTATGTGGCATTACTTAACCCCTTTTGTGCCTTCGTTTCCTCATCTGGGAAACGGGGATGGTAGGAACAACACCCTAGCTGTTGTAAGGCAATGAGTTAATACATGTTAAAGCAATCAAAACAGCGCCCAGTATCAGAAAGCACAATATGCATGTTTGCTAGTATCAGTACTCAGCCTGGGAGCAAGGAGGATGTCACTGATGAACTCAAGAGGCTCTATCTCTTCCGCCCAAGCCATCCCGAGCCCTGGATCTGCCTGGCCCCACCTCTGTGCCCTGGGCACCAGAGAGCAGTACCTACCCCTTGTTGATCAGCTGCCACTGCAAGGGATACATGAAATCAGCCGAGGGCGTGGCCCAGCAACTGTTCAAAACCACTTTAAACCTGGAAATGAAACAAAACGCATCGCTTTGAGCCAGAGAGGCGTATGCCTCGAAACATCTGGGGATTGAAACGTCTCTCGGCTAGTCTTTTTTTTCTCTCTCTCTCTTCTTTGTTGTTAAACATATAAAATGGAGGAAATGTACTTACCTAACGCTCAGCCCTTTGGCTTCTACTCCTGCAAACAGGTCTGAACCGATTTCAGATGTCTCCAGGACAAAAGGGGCTTCTTTCTTAATGGAGAACTTGGCATTCTTTGGAAGGAAATTGACACTGGGCATTATGACCTCTCAGACAGGGTTGGGCAGGAGCAGATGAATTGGGATGGGGTGAGGGTGGGGATCAACCCAGAGGGCACAGGCACATGAGACCACAGTGAGAAACTCCCAGAACCAGAAAAGCTCTACCTCCTAGGATGCTGGTGCCCCTTAGAAGGGATGAGGACATCGCATGTCTGGATTTGCTAGTCACAGTGAGACACTCACTGTATGTCTCACCTATGCCGAAGAAGAACAAGACAAGAATCCTGGGCTAATCCTGGCTCCCCCGCCCCCATCCCCGCCCCACTAACCTGGGTCTCAATCTACCCATCTTCAAAATAGGAATAACCTTTGCCTTCTCCTACCTTGCAGAAACCTTTTTATGATGGTGACTTTGTTTAATAGAAGCATAAAGCTTAAACCAGGATACTAGTTAAAATATTGAGGTTAGTGGACTTGGAGCTTTGCAGAACTGCAATAGGTAAACAGTGGCAGCAAGGATATCTAGTTAAAATGGACTTTAACCCCCACATGGTTCAAGTTCAGGGGATTTACTGAGAGGCCTCAGAATCATCTTCTAGCAATTCGTACATTATTTTACTGATTGCAAGTCTTGCCAGGGCTCCTGGACTCAAGTCACCTAGAAATCAGATCTTTTCTTCCCATATGTCAGTCCCTTCCACCATTGAAATGGTTGCAATAATTAAACAAGAACGTTTTAATCACAGCTGATTTACTGGCTTATTATGTGCATTGAAGTGACAGATTAACAGTGGTGTTTAATGTTTTTTGTTATTTTCTGAGATATGTCATATTTCAAGAGACTATTTCCAAACGTGGGAACTTACCGGGGGACCACACAGTGGTCCCCAACCAAGTCAGAGCTGCTCCCCCAGCTCCATCTCCTAGGGTTCTGCCAGCAGAATATTAAAATAGTGGAACAATGCCTCTAGTCCCAGAGGAACCTGCCTGATTTTGTTTCAAATCTACACTGTTGATTCCATTTCTGAAGCAAAACACTTTTAATGGTCAGTTTCTTCACTGTTCAGCACAGTACCCCCCTGCCTTCTTTATAACATGAAAATTAGGGACCTATTCGCAGATAGCTTCCCCCTGTAATACGTGTAGAGTTTGTTTTGGCATCCCAGGAAACAGACACACCACACAAACTACTCATTCAGTGAACAGGATGGAAGAGCAGCTTGAAAAATCATGCCACCTAGGCCCTTCACCTGACCAAAAGATTAAGTCACCACTAGTGAGGATGGGCACATCTAGATTGACAGCAGTTCACGTGGGCAAATTCTGGGAGTTGCTTTTGCCCACAAGCTCAATGTGAGATCGCAGAGAAAGAAAACTACCCACAGCTAAAATTGTCCTAGAACATGTTCCTAGAATTTTCCAGAATCTAGATCACCTCTGACTCACTGTGCCTTGCATTTGTCTGATAAGTTCTAGAACAAAACATTTCAGTTCTGGGCTCTGCTTTTCGATAGGGCCATTGACCAAGTGGCCCACCCAGATAGTGATTAGGATGAGGAATGGGCCAACAGTGGGAAGATGTTTAGCTTGGGGAAGACAAGCTCGAGATAGCTGAAGGGCTATCAGCAACATCATTACATGGCATGATCCCAGAAGACAGAACCAAGACCAATGGGCCAGATCACGCACTGATCTGAAACAGAAAGGCCCGACTTGCCATTCTCCTTGGAAGATTTAGGGAGCACACCTCTCAGCAATCTTGAGAGCTTGTTTGGAGGTTCTAGCAGGGGAGCACAGCTACTCGTATACCCTTGACCGAAGACCGGTCCTCTCCTGGGGGCGGGGGGAGAAGGTCATAGAACATGTTCCTAGAATTTTCCAGAATCTAGAAGATCACCTCTGACTCGCTGTGCCTTGCAATGGTCTGATAAGTTCTAGAACGAAACATTTCAGTTCTGGGCTCTGCTTTTCGAATGGGGCATTGACCAAGTGGCCCATCCAGGGAGTGACGAGGATGAGGAATGGGCCAACAGTGGGAAGAAATTTAGCTTGGGGAAGACAAGCTAGAGATAGTTGAAGGACTATCAGCAACATCATTACATGGCATGATTCCAGAAGACAGAACCAAGACCAATGGGCCAGATCACGCACTGATCTGAAACAGAAAGGCCCGACTTGCCATTCTCCTTGGAGGAGATAGGGAGCACACATCTCAGCAATCTTGAGAAGGGTTTCGGACTTTGCGTGGAAAGTCAAGGTTGATCACCTCTGAGGTCTGTTCTGACTCTGGAAGTCTGTAATTTTGGCCTCTTGCTTGTATTTGTTTCACCCCAAGCTTTTTCATTTGTCTCTAAGAGGAGTGGTCAGTACTATTTCGATTGAATGCGTCATCCTAATCCCACACTGATATGGATATTCAACCCTATAAAGGTAACAAGGCTTGTTCTAGAAGCTCTCAGAGTTTCCACTTTAAATGGAGTCAAAGGCTAAAATCATAAGAATGGCTACTTTCATGGGCACTTACCTTGTGCTGGGCAGTCTGGTAAGTGCTTCATAATGACATATTTAATTTAATCCTCATAACAAACCCATGAGGTAAATACTATTATTATCCCTATTTGACAAATACATTGGTGGAAGCCCAGAGAGGTTAACTAACTTGCTCAAGGTCACACAGTTAGGAATTGTAGAACCAGGCTTTCAAACCAATGGTGTGACACCAAAGCCTATTTCTTAATCATAGCGCTAGGCTACTTCTGTAAGCTGACGACCTTCCTTTATTTTGGATTGGGAGTCAAAATAAGTTTTTGCCAAGAATACCAACCATGTGCCTTTGGTAGAAGTGGTGGGAGGGATAGGGAGAGAAGAGAGGAAGAATAGCGAGGAAAACCGGTGTTTTTGGAGCCCAGCATTTGGAGTTCTCAGGATCCTAAGCAATTAGCAGAGCACTGATTCTATTGTGCAATCTGGGGCACCGCTCTGTCACTGGTAATTTGATGGAAATATATGCAGGGAGCAGCCGTTTCTTCAGAAACACACAAGAATGCTCTCAAAGTGGAAAAAGGAAGGAGAAGAAAAATACTAACTGTGTGGTTCAGGCATAGGAAACAGCCCACAGTGGGACTATTAGTCAGTATGAAAAAAAATCTGTTGTAACAACAGAGCCCCCTCTTTGCAGAGCCTGTTTGTCCTGTAAAGGCTGTGGTGGGTCCCAGAGGAGACCGTAGCCTCATTTCTAGAACAGTTCAAGGAGGCATCCTGTGAAGTCTGTATATCAGCCCAGAGGATGGCCTGGGTGACGCTGAGGACATGCCTCTTAATTTTTTTTCTTTTAAAAAAGAATAGACTTCTTCCAGTTCTAAATTTCGATATTTATGTCTGAAACTAGTCCAACATTACTGATGGTGGGTGATAATTTTCGACAATCCTAGTGCCTCTCCATTTCCCACTGTTGTAAAATCTTCATAGGCTGACATCTATAATTTTATCTGGTTAAAATAACAATCACGTATTTCCGGACAGGGACTCGGTGGCAAAGACAGCCTGTCATTAGAACATCCCCTGAGACTGTTGTCAATGTGTGAAGCCTATTTTTCTCTCTAAACAAAGTTCATCAGTTATTGCAGTGGTTTGAGTATCCTTTCATCAGCCTGGCTCTCATCACTGCATTTACCTTCCTGATCACAGGTCCAGGGGGTTATATGAGGTTAATGGGGTTCTTTTTATTCAGGACTTAACCACTAGTCTCTGTGGCCAGGGACAGAGCTAGGTTTTCTGGGACCTCAAAGCTTACTTAATTTGGAGCGCTCTCTTTAATTAAAAGGATCAAAAATTTCAATACAAAAATTAGACACAAGGCCTTGAAAGGGGTCTGTGTAAGTGAGGGGTGGTAAAACTTCAGCTTCATTCCCTTCATAGTCAATCTGCCTCAAAGAACAGGGTTAGAAGATCTGGGTCCCAGACTGGGCACTGCTCTGAACTACCTCTGGGATCTGGGGCAGGTCACGTCCTCCTCTGGGCTCCAGATCCTCATCTATAAAATGGACAAGGTTATA